TAATAAAATTATAGTAATGATTGCCCTTGGACTAGGTGAAACGCTGAATCAACAGCTATTGCGGCCGTATTACGAGCCTTATGTGAGTCGTCCGTTGAATCTATCGCTCGAACATACTCAAGAAATTTCAAGTAATATCTCAACTTTAAAATTTCTAAGTTTGGCTGAGCTATTTTGTCTAGGTATTCCCTTGCCCCCATTTAAGGAGGTGAATGTCCTTGACGGATTTAGGGTACCTTATGCCTTTCTCCGTCAGTCCCAATGGGAGGCGGACGTAGATAATTTTGTTCAGCTTTTATAAGCTGTGTTGCTATGTTGCAAGCAGAATGGTTATGGTTTTTACTCGGCCTTTAAAAAACAAAGACGTACGCATGAAAAAACGAATAACTCAATAAGATAACAATGCCTGACTTCCATTAATTTTGTCAAGATTACATTGTTGGGCCGTACGAATTTAATTACAGGGCTCGGTCATTAAGACCTAGCTGTATATACAGCTTTTTGGCTAAGTACAAAGACTTCTAAACATAATATTTTTTGAGATTGTCCGTGTTCCATGTTCCTGGAATTGGACGGCCATCTAAGGCTTTAAGTCGGTATGTACCATCTCGAACTTCTTCACTAATTCGATACGGCCCTTCCCAGTTTGAGGTTAACTTACCATCCTCATTTGCTCGGCCTATAGCCTCCATTTTTCTCAGTACCAAGTCTCCCATCTTTAGTGCACGCTTTGACACTCGGCGATTATATGTCCTCGTCATCCTCAAGCGATAGATTTCGTGACCGAGCGCCGCATTGCCCCTGGCTTCTGGAAGGAAGTCCAGAGCGGTCTTCATGGCCTCCCAATTGGCCGCTTCATCATATAGTATCACCCTGAGGGTAGGCTTGTACATCTCAATTGGGAGAACTGCCTCGACACCATAGACCAAGAAGAATGGGGTTTCTCCTGTGGAACTCTTTGCTGTTGTTCGTATGGACCATAATACATTAACCAGCTCATCAGCCCATAGGCCACCTGCTTTTTTAAGCTTGCGCTTGATACCATTGGAGATCAACTTGTTATAGGCCTCTACCTAGTCGTTGGCTTGTGGTCGGCCGACTGAGGCAAAGAAATGAGTTATGCCCTGGTCTCCCAACCATTCCTTGAGCTGAGGTGTTTCAAACTGAGGTCCATTGTCGAACACCATTGACTAAGGTACACCAAAGCGAGTAATTATGTTCTTCCATATGAAAGCTGAAACATCCGTCCACTTAATGCCCCTGACTGCCTCGGCCTCAACCCACTTCGTGATGTAGACTACTGCTACAAACACATATCACCTTTGGCCAGACGCTGGCGTATACGGACCCAAGATGTCCATACCCCATTTTGCAAAAGGGAGCGGACTACTTATGGCCGGCAAACTGTTAGCTGGGCGATGGATTAAGGTTGCGAATCTCTGGCAATTGTAAAATTTCTTCACCATTTTCATGGCGTCCGATTTCAAACTCGGCCAGTAGTACCCTAGGTGAGTGGCCTTTTCAGCCAAGGCTCGTCCTCCAATGTGGTAGCCGCAATGCCCCTGGTGGAGGTCATCCAGAACATCATGTCCCCTCTCATGGGTAATACACTTCAAGTACGGCTTCACAAAAGCTTTCTTAAACAACTCCCCATGCTTCATTTCAAACCAGACCGCCTTCTTTTTCATCAGCCAACTCTCCTTGGGATCGGCCGAGAGCAATCCATCCCTTAGGTAGAAGATAATTATGTCCATCCAAGTTGAGCTTCTATCAATGATCTACACTGGCTCGGCATCAATGCTCCCCTTTTCCTTTCCTTCCTAAAACACCGATCTAGGAGTATCACATGATGCTGAGGATGCTAATTTGGAAAGGGCGTCCGCCTGATGATTAGACGAACGAGGAACTTGTTATAGAGAAAAGTGTTCTAGTCTCTTGGCCTCCTCTTTGACTATCTTCAGATATTTCATCATGGCCGGATCCTTTGCCTTAAAGTCACCATTCACCTGGCCGACTATCAGCTGGGAGTCCGAGCTCACATCCACCTTTGTTACCCCTGCCGCCTTACACATTCTAAGGCCGACCAAGAGGGCTTCATACTCGACCTCATTGTTAGAGGCTTGAAACTGAAATCTCAGTGCATACTCAAACTTATCCCCCTCAGGAGATTGACAAATAATTCCAACACCACATCTGGTTGTTGTTGCGCTACCAACTACATATACCTTCCAGATCTGGTCTCTGTCCGGGTGTAAGTCCGGCCGTGTAATCTCAGCCAAAAACTCAGTAAAAGCCTGCCCCTTTATGGATTTTCTAGAGCTCAAACGTGATGTCGAAGCCTCTCAATTCTAAAGCCCATTTAAGCATGCGGCCACTAGCTTCTAAAGTTGCAAACGACTTCTTGAGTGATTGATCAGTGTAAACCACTATTGAATCTGCCAAGAAATACGGCCGTAGCTTTTTAGATGTCATGTACAACGCTAAAACAAACTTTTCAACAGGGGATACTTAAGCTCGGCGTTGTGCAGCACGTGGCTGATAAAGGAGACCGGGATCTGGTGGCTATCCCGTTCAACAAGCAGAACAACACTTAAGGAATGTTCTGAGATAGTGAGATATATGTACAACTTCTCATCCTTGAGTGGACTGACGAGGAAATGTATGCATTTTTAACTGTACGAATGCTTCCTCTGCTTCCTCCGTCCACTCAAACATAGCTTTCTTTTTTATGGTCTGAAAAAAGTATTGGCATTTGTCCCCTGATCTTGACAGAAACCAACCGAGTGCTGCTAAACAGCCGGTCAGTCTTTGCACTTCTTTAATTGTTCTTGGAGACTTCATGTCCAAGACAGCTTGAATTTTTTCAAGGTTAGCCTCAATTCCACGTTGATCAATCAAATCTCCGAGAAATTTACCGGACTCAACACCAAAGACACATTTCTTCGGGTTTAACATCATCTTATGCCGCCTGAGTTCGGTAAATGTTTCTCGTAGATCCTTTAGATGGTCGGATCACTCTTTTGACTTGACAATCATGTCATCAATGTACGCCTCCATATTTCGACCGAGCTGATCTCTAAAGACAGTATTGACAAGTCGCTGAAATGTTGTAAGGGCATTCTTGAGGCCGAACGACATAACCTTGTAACAATACAGCCCCTGCTCAGTCACAAATGCTGTCTTCTCTTGATCTTCTTCCCATAGAGGAATTTAATAGAAACCGGAGTATGCGTCTATAAAGCTCATTATGGCATGCTCGGCCATAGAATCAACCAAGCTGTCAATTTTAGGCAAGGGAAAGCTATCCTTAGGACATGCCTTGTTTAACTCCGTATAGTCCAGGCACATTCTCCAAGTTCCATTCAACTTCCTTATGAGTACTACATTAGCCACCCAATTAGGGTAATAGCATTGCCGAATGAAACCAGCGTCCAGTAGCTTTTTCACCTCAACTGCGGCAGCATGATTCCTCTCTTCTCCATGATTTCTTTTCTTCTGGCAGACAGGTTTAACGGGTGGGTTTACAACCAACTTATGCATGGCCAGGTCAGGGCTTATGCCTGGCGTTTCACTGACTTCGAACGCAAAAACATCCTTGAATTCTCTCAACAAATGTACTAACTCGTCTCCAAGCAGACCGATAGCTTTAGTGCCGACACTGACCGTCCGACCTAGTTGATCGGGGTCAAGCACTACATCTTGATGATTGCCGACCGGCTAGGGTCTAAGCTCTTTAGGCCGGCCGACAACCATTAATTGTTATGCTTGGTCGGCCATGAACTGCTTTCTCTTTTGGCCGACCTGGTATGCTTGGAGTGGGGGTTCTTCCCCTTTCAACTTGGATGTCTTTCCGTGTCCGCGAATAGTTGGCTTAACAGCTAACTGGTTGCACTCTTTGGCCATTTTCTGGCTCCCTTGAATCGAACCAATCTTTCTGTTCAAACTTTAACAACATTAAATGGGGGACGATCACAAAATTTGAAGCATTTAGGGTGGGATGGCCGAGTATGACATTGTGTCCAGTCAATTCTTTCACCACCAAGAATCGAACGACCATATCCCTCCCTTCTCCTTTTTGCCTGAATCGAACTGGCAGATCTATTTGTCCAACTAGGTGATTGATGTTTCCCCCAAATCCTACCAAGGGGTGAGTGATGTCCTTCAAAGTATCTTCTGGGAACTTCAAATTCTTTAGGGCGGCCAGGCTAATGATATCGGATGAGCTGCCCGTATCTATCAGTATTCGGCCCACCTTTAAATTGGCCATCTTCATAATAAACACCATAGGGTCATTGTGCAGGGCTTTGACCTCCCCCCGGTCAGCTTCAGACACGGTTACTTTAGGGAAAGGTTCAGCCTTCACAGCGTCCGCCTACATCACCTTTCCTCAGTTCCAAGCGTTTTACTTAATACCCTTCATGGTGGGACCGCCTGAGGAGAATCCCCCCGATATCACGGCCACAAACACTACTAGAAATAGGCTAAATAGCAACGGATCGGTTCCGACGGACCTATTTTTCCGTCGCAACATTCAAAAATTCCGACGGAACTTATTCCATTACAAGTTTTCGACGAATTTCAATTGTTTCGATGAATTTTCCGTCGTAATATTTTTTACCGAAATATTTTTCGTCATAATTTCCTTTTTCCGACGGAATTTTTCATCGAAAATAGGTTTGCGACGGAATATTCCGTCGGGAAAAGGAATTACGACGGAAATTTCTGTCGGAAAAACTTGTTTTTTTTTTAAATTACCCAACTTCATTTACCCTAACAAAAAAGGGGGAAATAGTCGTTGGAAGTCAGGAACGCTCAGAAGAAAGAGAAGGTGAGAGAAAGAGAAAGGGAAAGAGGAAAAGGGGACCACTCATCCGCCGCCGTCCGTCACGCGTTCGCCGCCGTCCGTCACGCGTTCGCCGCTGTCCGTCACGCCTTCGCCGCCGTCCGTCACGCATCCGCCGTCGACGAAGACCCACACAGCGCCGACTATGTAAGGGAGAAAGAGGACGAGAAGGAGAAAGAAAAAGAGGATGAGAAGGAGAAAGAGAAATACAACGGCGGTTTCCCGTCGAGCCTCCGTTGACGGTGCTTGTTGCCGGCGCCGCGTCTAGGTAAGTTTACAACTTTTTTTTTTGGTTTTCGTTTTTGTTTTTTTAATTACTTTCAAATTTGACTTTTAGACCACCACAACCGCAGCCTCCGGCCTCCTCCCTTCCCTCGCCGTGGCTGCTTGTTGTTGCCGGTGCCGCGTCTAGGTCAGTTTTCCCCACTTTTATTTATTTTTGTTTAATAATAAACCCTTATTTATTTAATTTATTTTTTTAATATTTTGTAGGATTTGTACAATTAGATGGTTTTGTTTCGGGGTTTTCTGATGTCCTGCGGGAGAGTTACAATTCCGAGACTGGAACCGGACGCCTGTACCTGCAAAATAACGGAGACTCCTGAGAGCTCCGCCTCCAACGGTCAAGTTAGTACCTGATTAAGGAGTAATTAATACAGAAATTAAAGTAATAAGGTCTCTCCAGGTGAGAGTATTTAATGTAGGTAATCTGCTTTGCTAGCGAGATCAGCCGGTTATTAGTGTGTTCTGTCAATTATTCGGTCCCTGATTAATGAGGATTAATCGAGTATTTATAGCCTTGGGAAGCGTGCAACTCTCTAGGTTTAAGGTAAACCTAGGGCCGAACGGGCTTCTAGACTGAAATGGGCCTTGATGGCCGGTTGTCCCATTTGGCATGGGTGGACACGTGGCGTGTCTTAAGTGGTCCGTGGAGGACGCGTGGCGGAACCTGGTTGGTCCACTTGTCAAACGGCGCTTGGTGGATAAAAATCCCCTAATCATTTGCCCCTCACAGGTGGCACGCGACTGGTCACGTGTCGCCTGTGACAGGTGTCGCACGGTGACAGGCGACGACCCGTTACAGGTGTCACCTTGCAGACGGCCGGGAGACTCTCCCGCCCAAATTTGAATTCGGAGGCGACCCTTCGCCTTCTCATTTTGCCTATAAAAGGAAGTGCTGACTTCGGTCATTTTCACATTTGAGAATTTTTGCGAGAACATTCGGACCCCTGAACTTGCTCTGACATTTTCGGACATTTTCTGCCTACCGCCTGTTCTGACAAGCGGACTGACCCGAACTTTCAGGACTTCATCAACTGTCATCCGTTCAGGTAACTCAGTTCTCTTACTCTTAATTTTCTTTTTATTTTTTGAAATGGCACCATGGAAGCACACGACACGCCCTAAGTTAGTGATCAGCCGGTCACCGGGGACGGCTGAATCTAGGACTAGGAGTGCCGCCTCCCCTTTTCTGGACCCCTCTTTGCCCTTTATACAAAGTCCAACTGAATCTGTGTCTATGCAGAACGTGATGGCCAGAACAAAAAAGACTGCTAGAATATCAAACTCAGACGGCTCCTCCCAAAGGGTACTCCTTAGCGAAACATCTGACCAGGCGCCAGATGTGGAACGAGGCGACTGTCAAGCTGACAGTTCTGAGAGAGGGACCAAGGTGTTCCCTTCTCATCTAACCGTGGACATGTCTAATTTACCTTCTGCTCCTTCTAAGGGAGAGGAGGCGGGCCCCTCTAGGAGAGGGGAGGAGTCGTCCTCTTCGGACTCGTCAGGGGACGAGTCCGATTCCAGCTCTTCTGACCATAGTTCTTCTGACTCAGAAGAAAAACATAACCGCCTACAAGAGGCGAGAAGTTCCCATGCAGTGGAGAAGGGGGATAATTGGGCAGAGCCGTCCGCCTCTTACAGAGAGGAAAACACCCCCTACTACTGCAGGGTGCCCCGGGGCCGGATCGCAACCATGCGAGACAACGTGGCGAGCTTTATTGCTAACCACAAAATGAGCCCGGAGTATTTACTGTTTGTGCCGGATCCAGAAGATACTGTCGTCTGGCCGGCTGGTACCAGCTATGGTGACGGCTGTTTTGGCTGCTATGTGGCGGCCATCAAAGCTGGTCTGCGCTTCCCATTACATCCGGCTGTTCAGCGGATTTTAGATGGGTATGATCTGGGGTTATGGCAGTTAGCCCCCAACTCTTGGGTAAACGTACTCGGCTATGTGGCCGGGTGCGAACTGAACGGGGTGGAGCCAAGTTTTGAGGCTTTCGCCCACATGAACTATCTCAGCCGGACCCCTAAGTCGGGAGGTACCGGCTGGTATCAACTAACAAGCCACAGGGGTTACCTCATGACGAGAGGTAAGGCAAACAAATGGAAGGATTGGCGGAACACCTTCCTTATTATCGAGAGTTCAGACACGGAGCTGAACAAACGTTTTAACAAGTGGAACAGGGATCCGCCTCTTCTTGCAGGCGGCCGCAGCATGCCGCCTGTTCCCCCAAAGGCTAAAAGAGAGATCCTAGACAAAGGACTCTTCAAAGTAGAGACTAGGGTGAACTCTACTTCAGGGGTACGAGAGCAAGTACCCCTACACTGCGTCCCGAGCTTCAAGTGGCTCTATGATGAGTACTTCTTGGCCGCCTGTGGCCTCGGCAGTCGGTGCTCTAGAGGTAGCCGGCCTGACGAATACTCTGTTTTCTCACGCCTTGTTTACTTGGGATTTTTACTAACTTTGCTGTTTATTTCTTTCAGCCGACGCCATGAGTAAAATAACAGCATCTAAGACTGCGGCGGCCATGCTGCGGGTTTCGCTAATGAAGCAGTCGTACGCCGACTCCCCCAGCAAGGAGGCACCCTTGGTAAGCTTTGAAAACTTCCCCTTTAAGTTGTATTATGCATATACTAACTCTTTTTGTTTTCAGTCTGGCACTCCAAGGGCTTCTTCCTCGCAACAGCCGGACCCCAAGGCCCGGAGAACGACTGTTGCAAGCTCTCCTGGGTCTTCCAGGAAAACAGTGGCGGCTGAGAAGCAGCCGGCCACTTCTTCAAAAACCCAGGCGGGGCCGCCTAGATGTATGGACACTTGCTTGTAAAAACTCACTCTTGCTTCCTTCTTGATTAGGTCTAACTTGTTTTTCCTTCTGCTTAATGCAGCCGGCCCCCAGGGACTTGACTTGGTTGAGGTAGCCAAGTCAATGGTTAAAGTAGTTCCTCCCTCTGACAGGGAGGCGGTCAAGGGTGCCGGCACCCTTGACCTCGATGGAATTTCGGGGATCCTAGCTGAGGTATACCCTTTTGAAGTTCCAGGACGCCTGTTAACCCTTTTGATTGGAAACTGACGCCTGTTTTTCCTTGTACTTAGGCCCTGCTCCGAGTCAACAGCCTTCGTAAGCCGATTGATCGGAAAAACAAAGAGGTAAAGGCCGCAAAGGCTATGGCCGCCTCCAGCTGTGATAAAGCAATGTTTCAAATTGCCCAAAATGAAGTACTGACCATTGATCTTCTTTATTATCAGGCGCAGGCGACCGCCGCTGTTCGGGCTCAGCTAGAGGCGGCCCAAAAGAAGGTTGACGAGCTGGAAGGGACCGTCACCAAACTTAAAGCCGAGCTGAAGCCCCTTCGTCAGAAAATGCACTCTTACGAAGCCATGGAGAAATCTTTGGCTAACGTAAAAGAACGCCTGGTGAACCAGGAGAAGAGTCTTACCCAAGAGCTCTCGGACAAGGCCGAGCAAGAGAAACAAGAGCTCGTCCGGGAGATGGTGGAAGACTCCGCCCAAATCCAACGCATGACCTGGGAACGACTGTTCCCCAGTGCCGACTTTGCCTCATGGGAAAGAACGTACCGCCAGTGTTCGGAAATATATAATCAACAGATCCTGGCGGCTGCTGAAGAAGAGGCGATGGACGTTGCGTTGGAGGAGGAAGAGCCTGTTGTGGCGCTTGTGCCACTTGGGGGAAAGGCATCAAAAGATGATGCAGCGAAGGCCGAGTCCAGCAAGAAGAGTGCTGACCAGGCGGCTGCTGCTGATACTGTACTGCCCCCTTCTTAAGCTTTAAGTATATTTTTTCTTTTCACGGCCTGCGTGCCGTTTGCTTTGTAATTACCCGGCCAGGGGGCCGGGGTTTTGAATATTCTGCTGGTCTTTTATGGCCGGCTCATTTTAATCAAATTTTTTGTTTTTGTTCAAATTTGTCTAAGTATTTGAAATTTGCTCACTAGACAGACTGTTGTGTATGGCCGAACGTTAAGACAGGTACAAATAGTAAGTATGCCGCCTATGCCCCTGGACGACTGGTTGTCTGTTTCCAGGATAGATGATCAGTCGGCCATTTAATCAATCGGTATTCGAACTCTTTATTCAATTTGACCAAGTAAATAGAATTACCAAGTAGCCAAGGAATTTAAGTAGGAAAACAAGCGGCGGGTACCGGTTGTTTCCCTTTATTGCCAATGTTGGCCTCTAATTTGTTATTTGTTAACCTAGCAAGAGTATTGGTTGAGAGCCTTTGTTTATTAAAAACAAGTGGACGACTCGTACCTTTTAGGCTCAGTACTAAGTTTGAGTGACTATTAAGTTAACATAGGAGTTACTTAGTCTTCGTCACAATCTTGATTGAGTAGTAAAGGTATCAGGCGGCGTAGGCCGGCTAGACCCCTTGATTTACCAATGTTTGTTGGCTATTTACTCAATAGGTTATCCAGTAGGAATAGGGGTTCGAGTGTCCTTGTTTGTATAAAACAGGCGGACGACTCAAACTTTTTAGGTTCCATACCAAATTTGAAGGAGTGACTATGAGTTAACTTTGGAGTTACTTCAGTCGCCGTCACTTTTGTTTGAGAAGTAGAGGTACCAGGCGGCGTAGGCCGGCTAGACCCCTTGATTCGCCAATGTTTGTTGGCTATTAACTCAATAGGTACCCCCTGCATTTATCCCAAGTAATACAGGCGGTCATCTGACTCAGATGTCAACTGCTACCACTGGTTTGGTTAGTGATAGAGTTATCCTTGTCTCAAAAACGGCTACGTGGTTGCCCTTTGGGACAGTCGTATAGGGACAGTCGTCAAAGAAGGGTAGCCGCCTGTTAGGCACAGGGTCGGCCAGGCCCTAATCTTTTTAGCTAAGTATTGTGAGTAAAATACTCAATGGAGAGTAGCCGACTGTAAAGGTACAGACGGCATGCCCCTCTGATGATAGAGTGAAAAAACTCAATGGAGAGTAGCCGACTGTAAAGGAACAGACGGCATGCCCCTCTGAAGATAGAGTGAAAAAACTCAATGGAGAGTAGCCGACTGTAAAGGTACAGACGGCATGCCCCTCTGAAGATAGAGTGAAAAAACTCAATGGAGAGTAGCCGACTGTAAAGGTACAGACGGCATGCCCCTCGTAATACAAAATTGAATAGTAAGTGCCAACTTTATTAAGTAGCTCTTTACTTTACATCATTCAAAAGAAATATTTCTTAAGGTTATCTACATTCCAAGTTCGAGGCAAC